TAATATTTTATTTCACATTATACTTCATTTTATGCTTGACTTTTTATCTTATGGTATACTTTATATCATGTTTTATTCAATAGCTGATACTATATTTTATGTCCTATCTAATATCATGTTTTCTTTAATATTACAATACGTGCCACAAATATTATAAAGCACAAAAAATATTTACTAAAAATATCATAAATCTGACAATAACAACGTAAAGCTAAGAAGAAGCATATCGAATTTCTTTGAAAGCCGTTTAAGCACCTATGTTAAGATACACGTACATATTTGTCGCGATTGATCTAAATCCCCAAAGAGATTCTACGCTGGAGGATTTTTATGTAACCGGTATCTATGGACCGTGGCTGGTATTACCGTGGATTTTGTCAATGGTGCAACCATCCTCCATAAATCTTTGGACCATCCACTCGTGCCAGAATGAATCTAGAACGTATTCAAACGAAGTTCGCTGGAAGAGAACGGTCGAATATATCCGCGGGTAGGAGAGTACGCGAGTATATCTACTACGTAACTACTCTAAAAGTGACCAAGTACACCAAGGATTCCGCTGGAAATGAATTTAACGGACTCAATTAAAATTAAGTGGTCGCGTAAAAAGATAAACGGGCGGAAACTTTGTTGAAATTAAACCGGAAAGCGAACCGTTTGCTCGCGGCTGAGAGTTTAGGACGCCTAGAATACCTCGTGAATTAGCGCCTCGTGAAAAATACATTTCTTTTTTATGCGATTCTTTTAATATTGTGCGTCTACTTAATTGTTAATCGGGATAAGTATATGCGTTTGAGTTTGAAAGCCAAGCTTTATTCACAGCTTGAGCTGTAGGTGAAACTGAAGAGGAACGTTAAATCAAGTGTTGAGTAAAATATTTTTGACGTATGAAATATACAGTGGAGTAAAAATATGTGGGGCGAAATATTTAATTTGTTATATGAAATATAAAATGCAGTATAGAATCAAATGTAGAATGAAATATTAAAGTCAGTACACGATATAATAATATACACTGCATACAATATTTCACATAGAGTGTGTTGTATAATATAATATACAGGGTGTCTCACAGCTAGTAGGTCTCTGAAATGTAGCTGACGTGATTCTGAATGAGATTTCCCTTCGCAAAAATGGGGTTTGAAGTTTCGTTTTTGAATTATTAAGGAAAAACACGGACCATTCAGAGCGCGAGGATTACGCATGCGCAGACGCGAGAGCGGCAGCTTCGAATAACGCGTAGTTATTCAACGCGTGGTAATCCAACGCGTAGTAAATCAACGCGTGGTAATGCAACGCACGGTAATCCTACGCGTAGTAATCCAACGCGTAGTAATACAGCGTGTGAATATTCAACGCGCAGTAATCTAGCGGGTGCATATTCAACGCGTAGTAATTCAACGCGTAATAATGCAACGCGTAGTAATTCTAAGCGTAGGAATCTGATGCGTGGTAATCTAGCGCGTAGTAATCCAGCGTGTGGATATCTAACGTGTAGTAATCCAGCGTGTGGATATCCAACGCGTAGTAATCCAGCGCTTAGATATTCAACGCGTGTTAGTCCAACGC